CCCCCCCCCCCCCCTTAAATAAAAAATGATAAAACAATACTCTTTTTTTTTTTGCATAATCCATAAAATTGGAAATTCAAAATGATGTTTGTTTATTTAAGCGAATTTGAACCTTTCCCCGCTGCAAAATTTGAAAATTTTGAGTATCAAAATAATATGTTTTTCAAAATAAAATGTTATATCTAAATAGGTACGAAAAATAAAAGAGTATATTTTTTTTCCAAAAAAGAAAAAATTTCAATTTCAATACTTTCTTTTTTACATAAATTCTAAAACCTTATGTTCTAAAAAAGATTTTATAATTTTTTTTGTTGTTTCTTGCAAATTTTGATTTTTTTAGGATTTTTAGTTTCATTTAAACGAAAACGTAAAATTTCGAGAGCCGTAATCTCATGTAACAAACAATGCGATCTCTTTGAGATTTTTTTTTCACGAAATATCTTCCTACCTTGATTTTCTCGGCTAAAATCGCTATGATTCTTTTGGCTTATTAGCAAAATTATATATGTAAACTAGTTAGCTATTTATCATATAAAATTTGGAAAAAATATGAAATAATTTCATTGTATAATTTAGGTTCTAGAAAATTCAAATATATTTGATCTTTTGTATAAAAAAATTATTGAACTAATTTTTTACAGATATATTTTTAAAAGACGCTTTTTACTATTTTTACAAATTAATAAAGTATAAAAAAACTTGAAATTATTTGATTCTTTTGAATATTTCCATGCCATTATCTTATGAGCGTTGAGAGCATCCATTCCGGGGCAAATAACAAGTCTCCTTTAAATTTGAGTTCGTAGTCAGAGTCCTAAATATGGAGTATACTTAGTCTTTTCTCTGGATAAATTGAGATATATATATATATATATAGATATTTGTGGTTTATATATTTAAAGAATCGATACATACATACAGACAATGTGAATCTTGATTAATATTTGGATATGTATAAAAATGATTGTGCATAAAATTAGAAATGTGCTAAAACAATTTCTTTATATTTGTAAAAAAGAAAAACGGAATCAGATAATATTTTCCATTATTCTTATCATTTCTATAGGATTCCAAAAAAAAAAAAAATTAAAAATTATGTTTTTAGAAAAAGGCATTGACATGTGTCTCCAAAGCTCAGCTTATTTAATTCGTTTAAACCCCAATAGGTTTTGAGTGTTGCTTCTTAGCCTCCACATGCTTCCTCTTCTTTTTCTCTGACAATCCCTTCGATTCGCCATGAGTGTACCACCATGACGTCCATGGTGAAGAAACCACGAAAGCAAACACTAGCAAAACCCTAGAAAAAGGTTTCGTAACACGATGAGAGAGCTAGAGAGCTTCACTGTCACTGGAGTTGGCCGGAATCCTTGGCCGCCCGTGGGATCCCCGATGGATCTCCAGCGAGAGGAGCCTCCATGGAGATCCAACTCCTCCGACGACTCCGTCAGTGCTGTGTCATTTGGGTTCGTCGCCACCGCCATTCTCATCTCCATGTTCCTCGCCATGGCTATTTTCGAGAGATTGATTCGACCCACCCCTTCTCGGGCCTCTCCGGGTCGAATCCCGTCGGGTTTGGATTCTCGGGTCGGGTTCAATGGCACCAAGCTCGGTTTCCAATCTCCCAAGGCAAGTAGTTTCCTTTTTCTTCCTTGCCAAACAGAAAAAGGAGAGAAAATGAGTACAAGTCCCTTCTTTTTCGGTTTATGTCCACTGCATGCGTGTGAATTCGTCTCGGGTTTTGACCTAGTTCCCCCATCTCGGGATTTCGCCGATATTCAGATCTTGGGTTTGTAAAAACTTTAGGAAAAGTTTATTGATTTCTCAAATCCTTATGGAAACTACCAGAAATGGCGTTTTTACTGTGGGGAAGCGCTCTCAAATTGTTCTTGCGTTCGTCTTCCATTTACTGCGTTTATGTTTTTTCTTGCTAATTTTGGAATTCGAATTCTGCTTTCCCCGCCTTAAAGCTTCGATCTTGTGTGAGAAAATGCTTATTTGCTGCCAAAAGCTTTCATCTTTACGTTTCTCTGCTCCTTAAATTTTCCGAAAGATTATATTTTTGTATGTGTATTTTCATATTGTATGAGTTATTTGGTGTGATCCAAAAGCAAAAACAAGAAAAAAAACATGAAAAAGCATGGTTCTTTAATTGCGGTATAATGGACACACCATTGCACATGCTTTTTTAATCAACACGCACATGGAGATTTTCCTGTGACTTCATCTCATATACACTGGAATGCGATTCCTAGACACCAATGATGTCCAATTCATTCATTCGTCAGCCTTTTCCTTGTTGACAAAAAAAAACAGTGGAATTTCGCCATTGATTCGTTTGGAAGTATTATGAGTGACAAAAGTGTATCTATGCGTGTGGAATTATGAGTGGCATTCTTCGAGGAACACCAATGGCCCACCGGCTTTTCCAAAGCTAAGATTGCTCCTTCGAGGGTTCTCTTGGGGCATATCTTATAGTTATGGAGATTGGAGGGCTCTTTTATCTCCGTTTTTAGTAAATGCAGTAGCTTTCTTGCAGGATCATCCTTGATTAGTTGAGATTGATTAGATCTTCGAATCAAAATATCGAAATCTGGGTCTTACTGGGATCTTGATAGTCATTTTTGCTTTCTTGATCAGGAGTCTTGATAGTTATTTTGATAGGGAATGATTGGCATTACTCATGGAGCCATCCATGTGAGCAAAACAAAGGCATTGGACATACAAGGACCCATTGCCTAATCTTGGTCTCTTTCATCTCAGACAATGTCTTTGCCTATGTGTTAAATGAGTTTTCTGTTGAGGAAACATGACATTTCACTTGTCTGAATTGAAGGGTTAGTTCTGTTGTTGTCTTTTCGATAATTCTCGTTGGTAAGGCTGGCTCCATCACATCTTCTCTGGTGGAAACTCTCTGAATGGTCGGAGCTACAGTCACCGATTATGCAATCCCTATACCGGAATTCTCAACATTGAATAATCATCATATGCTTTTAGAGTTTATGATTTTCTTCTTCATCTCCACATCTGCAAACACTTGAAGGCACTTGAAATGTTCAAGAATGAAAGCCCTTGTTACATATGCTACGAGTGAACACGGATTGGGACCCGAGTTTTCGGATACCCGGCCTCAGGCCTCAACCCTGTGGTTTCATGGCCAAAGTATCTTCTCCTCGACTTTGCGATACTCGGGTACCCGCAGGGGTATAATGATAATTTTGCAAGAACATGACCTAGATTTTATTGTAACTTCCCTCAAAATGCCCGAGGTTTAACGCAGATGGGTCCCGCGGTTAAGCCGAACCTGAACCCGCGTTGCCGTGTACCCGCATTCCAGATATCCGTCGTGGGTATCTGGTTTTAACGCCCATCACTGCCTAACATATGGTTTTGCATTTCTAACACGTGATAATATGGTTATATGCTTGTGCAGATGGCTGTGTACTCAAATGGGGTTTCGGTATTGATGCCAGGAGATGAGATCCCGACGTTCATGGCGCATCCAGCGCCCGTCCAATGCCATCGTGATCCCGTCTCTCTGCCTCATCATCACCATAATTCATCCAGAGATTCTTCGACCAGCTCCAATTCAAACTCTATCCAAGAATGTTGAGATGCCGATCCCCTCAGGCCCAAAAAAGCCGATTTTTTTGCGCTCCTCGGGGCAACCACGATGAATCGAGTTGAGTTTGGCGGGTTTGTACTCGTTTTTTTTCTCTTCACGAACTTCTCTGCATTGCTGGGGATGAGAGAAGTAAGCTGAGGAGATTGTGTTTGGGATATTTTGTGTACATAAGAGAGAATTAGGGTTCTAAAACTGGTAATGGGTCTTGGCTTAAGCATATTGTTCAGGGGTTGTCAGGTCTCATTTTGAGGTTCTGTGTCCATTTCTTGTGTTAAGTGGTGAGCAGTTTATACTTAACCGGATATTTCGGGTTTTGGTTCGAATTTAGTCTCCGGTTATTTTTGTGTGTTTTGTTTTTTGTTGTAGAGAAATTATATCTTCAGTTCGGTGTTTGTATTTATATTAGGGATGGACGTTTCGGGAAACGGTTCGGGTTTGAGATGGAAATGGATCAGTTCGGTTTTTTCGGTTTTACAAAAAGGTACCAATCGGTTTTTATATTCTATTCGGTTTGGTTTTGGTATCGGTTCAGTTTGGTTACAGATTTTATTTAAAAAAAGCTAGATTTTCTTTAAAAATATTCGGATTTTTGAGATTTTTTAAAGTTCGGTTCGGTTCGATTCCGAAAAAATTTGGTTCTCTAAAAATAATACCGTTCGAGAATTTGAAAACGGTTTCGAATCGAACCGAAATGTGAACCCGTAGTCCCTAGTTTATATTTATTGAGTTTTAATTGATGAGTACGCTTTTTATTCGGATTAATTTTTTATTGATAAATGTTTATTTTTTTAAATATAAATAATTCCTTTAGATTATTTTTATTTTAATGTTCGAATTTATTGGGCCTAGCCCGTAGGCCCAACATATTCAATTCATTTCGATAAATATGGATAGAATCCGTTATCTGAAAACATGGTATAATTATTTGGACTCAAGTATTGAGCCTAGCCCATAGGCCCAACATATTCAAATCCTAGCCCGTTGTAATTAAGAACCACGTCGACCATTGTAATTTCTGGAAAAAATTATTATTTATTTAAGATTATAATTATATTTCGACATCCCACAAAAGACATATTATAAATACTAATATATAAATCCAGTTCCTTCCAAATAAATGTTCTTGGCTAAAAATAGTAACTCAAGCAAGAAAAGAGTGATGATGATGACAAAACGACGGCTTAAATATAATTATATTAATAATTGGGGCTGTAGGTTTTGGTATTGGTTTAGATTTTTTTATTTTTATTAAAAAACATTAATCCAAATAATTTTATGTCAATTGTTTTGCTCTGTTCGAATTATATTTTAATTCACTTTGAATTATTTTTAATTAAAAAATATAGTTATGTCTGAAAAAATTATTATCCGAATTTGTTTTTACATTAGACTCCACCCCACATATAATGATATAATGATATACTATTTAGTAGGGACGGACATTTTGAGATTCAATTTGATTCGAGAACGATCTATTTGGTATTTTAAATTTTATACTAAATTAGTACCGTATATTATTCGGTTCGATTCAGTTTCAATATCGTTCGATTTCAGTTTTTGTTGATAAAAATTAGAGTTTTTTTTAAAAAAATTGGTTTTTCAAAAATTTTATAAAATTCGTTTCGATTCAATTCGGATAATTCGATTCTATAAAAAAAAACGTTCCATTCGAAAATTTTGAATAATATAATTCGAAAAATATATCGAAATTTTCAGTTTTGTACCGTTTAGTTTCCAAAAATGGAACCGAAATGTCTACCACCACTATTCTATATGGATCCAAATCGAAATATACCATATACTGATAACTTGTAATATTTAAGGGAAAGCGTATGATTTTTTATTTTATTTTTTTGTAATGAGTATATGGTCCTTTTGGGTTTAAAAGAAGGAACAAAACATGCAAAGCACTTGGATTTAGACGCTTAGATCATGTCTATAGCCCTTGAGAAAACTAACATATAAAATCAAATTATAATAATAATATTATTATTTGCACAAATTTACAGGTCAGACCAACCAGGACCCTAACTGGTTCGATCCATAAAATAGAAATTCAAACTTTTTCAGTTTTGAAATAATAATAAGAATGCATAGAATCCAAGTTGTTATGATTTATTTAATAACAGGAAGATCTCTGTTCCTCTATTTAATATCTGGCATATGGTATAATTATACTTGACGTCAACCGTTAATTATGCTCTTCCAAAGATTATATTATATATATATATATAATTCGTTTTAATTTCTAATGAAAAAGCTCTATTTGTAAAGGTCGGTAATGCCCAAAGGGAAAATAACAAAATAGGGAGACTGACGTGTAAACTCCTCGATTACCAAATAATATTCCAAAACTTTATATTAAAAAAATAAAATATGATTGCGTCGGCCGGAGAAAAACATGTGGCAATGGCGTGAGGGCGGATTGTGGTGGGCAAGGGTATTCTCGTAATCTCAACCATCGTATGGACGACGAAAGGGCACTTTGGTCAGGGAAGAAACTGGCTCCACTGCTCGTTGCCTCTGAAGTTTTTATTTATACGAGGAAAATAAATAAAATAAATGAAACCGACCAAAAAAAATTGTAAAGATTAAATGAAAATGTAAAAAAAAAATCTGAAAAAGAAATGGAAAATTCTCCGCTTTACCTTTTCTCTTCTCTCTCTTGTTCTTCCTTCCTGCTCGTTGCCACTATTTGAATCTGATTTTTATCTCTCTCCCTCAAGTTCTTCGCGAATCTCTCTCTCTCATCGGATTTGATTTCTGACAACAGGCAGTAGTCTTTTCCATGCTTTTCCCCTTGGATCTCAGAGAAATCTCGACCTCTGTCGTAGAGTTGACAATTCATTTCCCAGTTCCGATTCTGTGGTTCTTGGATTGATTACCGACGCATAAAGGAATCCGATTTCGGATTTTGAGTTTCTCCTTGTCCCCGTAAATCTGCCCGAAACAAGTAGAAAATGGCGAAGCGTGGATATAAGCTGCGTATCCTTGTGTTTTCGAGGGTGACATCGTTGAAATTTTTAGCTATATTTTTAAGTTCGATTTTGAGAAATCTTGTATGGCCTTGTCACTAAATCGTTAGGGTTTATCCCTTTTCTGATCTTATCTTTTAGCTGATGCTAATGGGTTAATCTTCAACATTTACCCCGTTGGGGTTTGTCTCATCACCTTAAGTTTGTTTCGGATTGAATTTCCTGGCTGATGCAGCAAAATGGGATTAGACTTTGTGTGGTCACTGAACAGATGACTGAGAAGAAACTTCAAATTTTGTTTTTGTGTGTTTGTTCTGATTTCATTCTATGGATATATGATTCAATCCGTAAAAAAGTTTTGATCTTAGTTTTGTTTTGCTATTAAGATGCTTCAAATGGAATACTATTTGTTTATAACTTGACTTGATTTGGGAAATAGAGGAGTTTTTGGCGCATTCTGCAAATGTGAATTGTCTGAGTATCGGGAAGAAGACATCTCGTCTTCTCATTACCGGTGGAGATGATTGCAACGTCAACCTTTGGGCAATCGGCAAGCCAACGTCTTTAATGGTGTGTTCATGTTTATCCGTTCTTGTAATTTGCTCCACCTCATTGTTCTTACTTGTAATCCTTCCACTTAATGATACAAAAGTTCATTTAGTTTCTTGATTTCCTTTTCTTGCCGTATTTACTTGTCAGGAGTTCCATTTCTACTGAATTAAATGCTTGTAAAAGCATATAATGTTCTTCCGTCTTGTTTTGTGGTTACACATTAATAGAAGACTGATTGTTATTCATCTGTCTTGTTTGCAGAGTCTTTGTGGGCATACGAGCCCGGTTGACTCGGTGGATTTTGACCCATCAGAAGTTTCGGTGCTTGCTGGAGCTTCTTCGGGTGTGATAAAGCTGTGGAATCTTGAAGAAGCAAAGAGTAAGTTATCGATTTTCTGTCCTTGTTTAGGAATTGTCTTACACAGTGTATATGCGTAGATTGATCCATCAGATGGGAACATGTTCAATGCGTTTGAGTTGAGATCTGAGTGGATTATGAGGCCCTTTGAGCAGAGCAGTCTACAGGACTATGCTGTGTTTAAGTTTAAACATATGAGGTTCTAATATTTTCATTCTTGCTCTTGAAGTGTAGTGGTTCGAGCTCTTACGGGACACAGATCAAATTGCTCTGCTGTTGAATTTCATCCGTTTGGTGAATTTTTCGCATCTGGATCCATGGACACGAATCTAAGGATCTGGGATATTAGAAAGAAGGGTTGCATACACACATACAAGGGTCATACTCGTGGCATTAACACCATCAAATTTACTCCTGATGGTCGTTGGGTAGTGTCTGGAGGACTTGATAATGTTGTGAAAGTAAGATCAGCAGTATCACTTAAAGGGCCTTGTGCTTCTTTAGAAAAAAAAAGTTTTTCAAAAAAATTTCTTATAACAATGTGCTCGTTATTGTATCCAATAGGTATGGGATTTGACTGCAGGAAAGCTCTTGCATGATTTTAAATTTCATGAAGGACATATCCGTTCCTTAGACTTCCACCCTCTTGAGTTTCTCCTTGCCACAGGTTGGTCTTTAGCTCTTCATTTGCCTAACCACATTCGATTTCTCTTTGCATTGAGGTTGTCTTTCCTTGATGAAAGACTTCTTTAGATCTCTTATCTTGTTACTTCAATACTTTTTCTTTTGTCATGTACTTTCTGATATAATCAAATTCGTTACATCTAGAGTTTAATAGTATAGCAAAAAAAAAGATTATGATGTTGCTTATTTGGCTTGATAACTGGTCTGAACATTGTTGTTTTGATTTAGTATTTGCTGTATTCCGAATGCTAGTAATCTTATGACATTGGTTATGCCTAATATCAGTGGCGAAGAGGTTCAATTCAAGTTCAACATGTGGTAGTCAAGATATTGTCGTTGATTCTATCAATGAGCTGTTCACATTGGTGCTTGTTACCTTCTCTAATAATGAATCTGCCTGTATTCTTGCTTGGAGCAGTAACCTGATCTTCCTACTAGGCTACTACTGAGTTTTGTTTTAATAGATGAAATGGCATTTTTATACTCAAACATTTGTTTTGGTTAGAAAGGTGGCAACTTTCGCTTAACTTGTTCTTTGACAATTGTAACTAGAGAAACATCATTTCTACCTATCTACAAATTTTGTTTTCTGGCGTTTGATTTTAATACTACCATTCATTGTTCAGGTTCTGCTGATAGGACTGTCAAGTTCTGGGATTTGGAAACATTTGAACTGATTGGATCTTCTAGACCAGAGGTATTTGAGCTTGTGTTTAAAATTTTCAGGTTTAGGGTAAAATTTGATTTTGCAGATATCACTAAGTAGCAAGTACTGCTTTGGCCATGGCCCATGAGAATCTACCACAACTTTTTTTCACCTTTATAATCTTATGTTGTGATAGTTCGATATAGGCGTGTGATTTGGGAACCACTCGTATAGAATTACATCATTTAAAATCTCCTTGTTTCGATTGCTATAAAAAGAGCATGTTAGAGAATTGCAAAATCATAATAAATTTCTTGACTTACTCAAGATATTGAGTGAACCAATGTAACTCCACAAAATAGCATCTGATGAAGTCATATCTTTTGGACAATTTCTAGACTTGTCATAGAACTTCTCATTTACTTGCTATCTCTTGAATCTCCTCCGAGACGTTTTAGATTTCTTGTTTCACAGGCCACAGGAGTTCGTTCAATCGCTTTTCATCCCGATGGTCGGACCCTTTTTTGTGGACTGGATGATGGTTTGAAGGTTTCATTTTCTTAACGATGAGTTATATGGCTTCATTTGTTGTCTAATGTGAAATGTTGAAATCATCAACTCTTGCTTGTAATGCAGGTTTATTCATGGGAACCTGTGGTTTGCCATGATGGTGTTGATATGGGATGGTCAACACTTGGTGACTTCTGCATCAATGAAGGAAAGCTCCTGGGTTGTTCATACTACCAAAATTCTGTAGGAATATGGGTTGCAGATATATCGGTATGCCATTGGTTGTGATTGTCAATACTTTTTTTGGAAGTTTTTTGAAGCTAGTAAATAAAAAGATTTGAGAATCTCAGATGATTTTCCCTCTTTCCTTAAATTTTAGCAGCTTATTGAACCATATGGAGCTGGAGCGGTGGATAAAAAGGAATATGTGGAGAAAATATTTAGTACGGTAGACAATCAGTCTTCTGGGGTAAAAGGGAGTGGCACCAGGCGCAGTACATCCCCAGATTATGAGACTAAAGAAATAAAAAACATATACATTGACTGTGAGTGGATGTTATTTCCTTTTTTGATGTTCGTGTGTTCATCTTTTTCTTCGAAACTAGTGTTTGGTTTCTTCCTCTGTGGCATTTACTGATTCATGGTTAGAGTTTTGTTCGTCCTTCTCTGTTTTGATCAATGTTCTGATGTATGGAGATGGTTGATGCTGCCTTTCTAATTGCTATATTTTCGTATATCCACAATTAAAATGAAAAAAATAACTGCTGCTAATTGTGAAAAAGATTTATTCATCTATAGGCCATTGCAGTCCTAGTGTGAAATCTTGTTGATATCAAAGCGTGAAGCATGCTAATCACGAGGAGCATTGTATAATTTTATTATATCCATACGTTTTAGAGCTTTTGAAACCTAATGAGGCTGAAATGCAATGTTATATAGTCTTCTTTCGAATTGGCTTTCCTGAATGAGTAAAATCGACCTACGGATAACTTCTGTGTGGGCCTTGCAATCTATAAGTCGAAATCTTCATAACTTTTGTGTGTGAGAAATGAGAACAACTTGATGTTCATGTATCTACTGTTTATGTTTGGTCTAATTTGAGCCTCTTCTGTTTAAAGCCACAGGTGGAAATTCTACTGCTGCAGAAAAGCCAGGACCTCTAAGCACTCCAAAAGTGGTATTGCCTATGGAATCTGGAAAACTTGGTAATATGACAGGCGAGAAGCAGTCTACTGGTCAAGCAGGGGATAAGTCTTTTGTTGTGCCCTCTAGCGTTGTACCAAGGGACAGTGATATTGGAAAAGAAGGTTCTGATTCAGGCAGGGAATCTATCACTTTCTCAAGAACTAGACCAGGGATGTTACTTAGACCCGCTCATGTAAGAAAAACGGCAATGAAGTTTGATGAAAAAAGGCAGTCAGTAGCTGTTCAGTCTGGGAATCACAAGAAATGCGGATCGGATACTGAAAAAGAGGCAGATACTCAAAGTGTGTCTGATTCTGAGGAGGGCAAAAAAAAATCAAATGATGCGGAGGAATCTACCATCAAGAGTATTGCTGTTAAGTTTGAAAAAGCTTTATCACCAGAATCGCCGGCTAATGAAGTGAATCGTAGGTTCCCACTTCTCACATCAGTATTCATCAAATATATCTTTGATTGTCTTAGTTATCTCTCTTTTGACATTTCTTTAATTATGTCTTAGGTATGCTGCTGAAACCGCCTCATGTGCAGAGGTCACCTAATCCTAAGTATAATGAGGCAAGACGGACATTATCTGTTGATTCTGGAAGTCTTGGCAATACAAACGGCGGGTTAGAGAACTCAAGAGGCATAGACTTAAAAGCAAGCTATGTTACTGAGGGCAGTGGTAGAAACCCGTCTAAGGAAGATATCAATAACAAGAGTATTGCCACCAAGTCTGAAAGAGTTCTATCACCAGAAAAACCTGACAATGAGCTGAAAAGTAAGTTCTTGATCCAGTACCTGAATTCACTAATTAATAGACACCTCTACTTATGAAGTAATGAGTGAAAATTATCACCTTTATGTGTTTGGCTACTCTCTTGTGGCAATCTTTCTACTATATGAGAAGTTCGAGTTATTAAATATAAGTGGGCTTGGCATTCCCGTGGAAGTTGATCTGGAATAGCCACTAAACTCTATTAAGTTACTAAAAATGACATAAGCTTGGAATAGGACAAATGAATACACTCAGCATATTGTTTGCTGAAATCTAAATCTTTTAGCTACACTTGGAACTTGCTTCACATTTTTCATCATCTGTTGCCTGTTCTGGTTCGATTACTTGTGTTGTGAGGCAATTATCAATTGTAACTGGTCAACATAAATATTCGGTTTGTGTAGGCCGTGAATCTCCGGGAGGCAACAGTGAATCAAATTCTGTGAAGATTGTAAGGGGAGGTAAGCCGATCGATATCTTTGTGCTATTTGTTTTTGGTTGTTAACATCTAAAGTCACTGGTTATTGATTTTATAAGAATAACTATATTGGCAGTAAGAGTTTTTTCGGGAAGGACACGCTCATTGGTTGAGAGGTTTGAGAAAAGAGAGAAATCTACTCCTAGTGAAGATAAAGCAGCCAGTACAACATCAGATCAGAACAGTAATATGGTGAAGGAAGAGCCTAATACAACAAAATCACAAGCAGTTAGCCCGAGCCCGACCATTGTAATGCCCGTGGTTCTTGATCGGGCAACCAATATGACTTCAGATGAGCCTCCTATGATATCAACACGCCGAGCTAGGAGTACCCCAGCACGAGTAATACCTGTGGTACTCAATCAGGAAACTAATATGACATCTGATGAGCCTAACATAACTTCAACACGATCAGCTAGGGCTTCTCCTGTCTGTGTATTGCCTGTAAGAGCTAATCAGGCAAGTAAACTGACCTCTGATACGTCTCATATAGCATCCAAGAAACGAGCTAGTGCTACTCAAACACTGGAGGTACCGACATTACTCGATCCTGTGGCTGATGTGACGTCAGATCGACCAGCTAATGATATTTCAAACCAGGTAATGTTTGCCATTCATGAACATGTAACTTCTACCTCCTTGTCTTGCATGCAGTTTTTGTCACATATTTGGTTCTAGTACTCATGGGCACTATACCAAAATAGAAAATCAATCTCAAGAATGACATGATTTTGATGGGATGACAAAAATTTTTCTGTTTTGCATCTTCAGAAGGAAGAGCCTCAAGGATCTGGGAGGCAGAATGACAGTGACATCATTGAAGATTTAATGCAAACTCACGATACATTCTTAACCACTCTCCAATCGAGGTTGACCAAATTACAGGTATTTTAGCTCTTTAATTTGTTTTTTTCCTTTTTCTTTTGTTACTTGCATTACTTGGATACTCTTGAATAGTTGAATATTCACTTGGCTCTAGCTATTGTCTACTCTTATTTTATGGAAAAAGGATCTTGGGGGTCACCGGTCTCTCTTATCCTTTTCTCTCTGTCACAGTGTTTTACCCGTTTCTTTTTCCCTTATTTGAAGCATAAGTTCCTCTAAGTAGTTGGTTTACCACAAACATGCAGATTGTCAGACATTTTTGGGAAAGGAATGATGTTAAAGGTGCAATCGGTGCATTGAGGAAGCTGTCCGATCACTCTGTGAGTATATCTCAGTATAATTATTCGTTTTCCTGTTTTATTTTGTGGTTTTAGTAGCTTCTTGTAGCCATTCTTCTATCTTACATGCTGATATAACCTAACTCATTGATCCTGGAACAGGTCCAAGCAGATGTCATAAGTATTTTATCGGATAAAACAGAGATTCTCAAACTGGACCTGTTTTCTCAATTGCTCCCTGTCCTCTCGGGCTTATTGGGTAGCAGGACTGAGAGGTAACAAATCATACCATACCATACCCCGACTTAAAATTATGCTTTGCATTATATTTCGCTTGTGAAACAGAAAAAAAAAAACAGATCGATGTCATATTATGTTGTCTTCTTGACCTTGAAATATTTACAGATCTGTAAATGTCTCCTTGGAAATGCTCCTGAAGCTTGTAGCAGTGTTCGGCCCTGTTATACGTTCAACTGTCTCAGCTCCAAGAATTGTGGGTGTTGATCTTCATGCAGAGCAAAGGTACTTACACTTTCATCTGTATCTTGAAGCCTGGAGATCTTGATCTCTTCACACTATGAGATCGGTTTGAGTTTGGTGCGCTTATTTATTCTTCTTGACAATAAATAATACGAATAAACGAAATCCGAAATGCAGGTTAGAGATCTGCAGAAGCTGTTTCGAGGAATTGCAAAAGGTTCAGAAGATCCTTCCAGTACTGTCGAGGCGAGGCGGTTTGATATCAAGAAAGGCTCAAGAGCTAAATCTAGTTCTTCAAGAACCATAGGCTAAGGTCATAAACTTCACTGGTTCCACGTAACTCGAGATCCCGAGCTGTATATCGACAAGAAATATCTCTCATTTCCCGAAGCTGCGATTTTGTCATCCGTTGCTTCGAGACTAGCGGCAACCTCCCCCCGGGGCAGTTTCTTGTAGCGGGTTTGATCGAAAGCTCGGCCGAGAGGATCTCTGGAAATGGTGGTATGTTGTAAATCAATCTTTTGCAGGAGCAATTCATATATTTCTTGATTCACTTTAGGCTCTGACTTTAAGTGTTGTTCATGTCATGTAATGCTTATGCCTCTTTGATGTAATTGTCCCTTTTGTCGGAATGAAGTAATATGAAATCGTCCATAATAATATGTCTCCTTTTGTTTCTGGTAAAATCTGCATTTATTGTATCATATAATCGAAAAGATGTTATGGAATCACTTCAAAAACTTGGAATTTACAGAAGAACTCAAGAGAGTGATTAATATGATTACCATTTTGTTTACAAGACATTTGAATTATTATATTTAAAAATGGAAATTCCACTTATTTTGATTCGTCAATTCAATCAAAAAACAGTGGTTGAATAAAAAAAACTTTTTGAAGACTTGGTGGAGCTCCGTCGTTCAAAAAGAGACACCCAAAAAAATCCTCTCATTCTTTTAATATTATTTAATTTCATTAGAAAAATTAAACATATTAGGCAAATGGTATTATACAAATATTTTCCCTTGATTTTTCTCTTTTTTTTTTTGTACAAAACAAATGTTCTCCGAGTGGTGGTGACGATGACCCAAAAATTAATTAAAAAAAAAAGAAGGAAAAATTCTGTTACATAAAAATATAAAATTGCTTTATTTAGGAAAAATAATAAGGCACGCAAATCTATCCTTTCCTCTCGTTCATACAAAAAAAAAGGACAAAACAAAAAAAAAACAGCTTAAACGTAACAGTCTCCATCTTTCCCTTTTGACAACAACAAACACAAAATCAAAACCATCGATTTCTCTTGCAACGTCGTTGAACACTGTCCTCAATCTTCGTCTACTCCTTGTCTCCCGCGTCGATTTTATTCTTCAATTTCATTTTTTTCCAACATTTTTTTCTCTCTGTCGTATATTATTCCCCGGATAATCGCCGCCGGAAAACCGCTAATCCTGTAATCTCCCGACACAAACCCGCTCGAGACGGCTTTTTTTTTCTCTTGTTCTTTTTGTCTTATCAATAATCGTGTCTTTTTTTAAAAATTTGGTCGGGAGACGGGTTTCGCTAACGTGCGCTGGGGGTGCGTAGTTTTGTGGCTGTTCTAATTGAAGCGCGTAGCGTGCACGCGTCGTTGTCGTCGTCGATGGTGGTGATGATGATGATGGTGACGGCGACGGAGTGGGGGACGTGGGAGGAGCTTCTGTTGGCCGGAGCCGTTCTCCGGCACGGCTCCGGCGACTGGGACGTCGTCGCCGGCGAGCTCCGTTCTCGTTCCCTCTTCCCCGACAATTTCACTCCTCAGGTCTTGATTTTTCCGACAACAATTTCCTCGTTTTTTTTCTATGTGCTGATGAGATTCCTTCAGATTATGAATCATACGTTGATCTGGAGTTTGTATCAGTCTTTGAATTACTAGGGATTAGGTCAGATTCAGATGTTGTCGTTGGGAATTGAGTCCTGTGTGCAGACTTAGGGAATTCATTCAAAGTTCAAAAAATTTCTCGAGCGTTGAGGAAAATTCAAAAAGTAAAAGACACAGAAACAGTGATTATTGTCGGTAAAAACTTAGGAAACAAGAGATACATGACTTGGGTGTCAAGAAAGTGGCAAAGGGGTCAAGTTTCAAAGTGGTTTTTGCTTTGTCTGAGAGAGGAGGAGACAAAACTTGAATCTCTCTTTTGTGGTTCTGTTTAACTTCCCTGTTACAAGTTCAGGTTTCACACTTGATGGGATATGGAGTTTCCTTATGAGAGCAAAGAGGTTGTTAACAACACTTGTTTGAGTTGTAGATACTGTCTTCTTGGACACATTAGGACAGTAGTAAATGATTGGCTTTTGGTTTCGGGTTTCGTTCCTTAAATGAGAAGGTACTTTGATTGCCGGAGTATGTAGAGGTTAACATGTCTGAAAGCCTGTGTGTCGATACCCGTTTTCCGTCTCTGCCTTTTGGAGTTGGTGTCGGATTGGAAGAAATGATGGCTTATAGGTTTTGGGAAATCAGATTGTGAAGTTCTGATGGTGAAATGTCATAGAGTTTAACACAAATGAACTTTTTTTCTCTATAATCGAAGCTGTTCAGCTTGAGATGTTGCATATCAGTTTGCTCATTGTCACTATCGAGATTTAGATCTGATCTTTAGTATTAGAGGAATATACGATATAGGAAGAGC